GTGTAATTTCACATTGGTGCACTTTGATTTTTATGTAAATTGCATCCATAAGAAGCAATGAAATCTCCACTCCTGAATTCCTGTGTACTCCCTGTCCAATTTAGCAACAGTCATGAGATGATTTGGGGTGGAGAGACTACGTGGCAAGTGGTGAGGCACCCACCACTGCTGCAGGCACTCCCACCCCTGTCCACTGGCTCACCTCTTTCTTTGTTCCTTGCAAACAGTATCATAGAGATGATGCCTTAAATATAATTCCATAGAACATTCTGAGGTTTCCCATGCCTTCTTAGATGTGATTTCTCCAACAGCCACCAGCTGAAAGTCATGTCTACAATGGCTCAAGGGAAGAGAGTCTATCTACACTGCGTGGAGGAGAGTGAATCTGTCTTCACTAGGTCAAATCAAGTGAATGTTCTACACTGACTAAAGGAAAGTGTCCTATTCTGGCTAAAAGTGAGTGAATCTCTATCTAAATTGCAGAAGGGGGCACAGTGTAGTGCCATCTTTGGAAAGGATGGCTAGTGGGCCCCTGCCCTCACCCTGAGGCCCCTCATTTCTTTTAATCAGCCCATTTTTAAATCTTTGGAACAATAATCGTATTATACAATTTGGAACAATGATTTTTATTGTACAATCTCAGAAGAATGGGAGGACAGGTAGGAGCATGGCAGAGTGAAGTCTCTGATGTCTTGTGCAGGTGGGGGCAAAGGAGACTCAGGCCGTCCACTTTTTTTTTCTGGCTCAGTGCTCCACTTCATTGGAGCTACACCTTATGGATATGACATGTTTCTTCTCTCTGTCATTGGAGCCATTTTATTGCTGACACATAGCATGCAACAGCACAGTTGTTGGAAACAGGTAGCAATCCTCTTAGTCACTCACTTTTAGCCCTTTTTGTTGTCTTGGCATGGTCCTGGGGATGTGTGTTGGAGGAATTGCTGCTGCCTGTTCTGGCCCACCTAACCAGGGTCATCCAAGGTTTGTGCATGTGGAACACAGAGTCAGACTGACTATGCTGGGAGTGGAGAAGCATGGCAGGCAGGTTGACTCTTCTGGTACCCTTTTGCCATGCCTTTCTGGCCTCCTCAGATAGCTGATGCTCACAGGAAAAGGGAAAGGTGTGAAGGGCAGTCTAATTGTTACTTCTCTTTGGGAGGAGAGGGAAACTGGATAGATTTCATAGGGTATGGATGAGGCATAACCCTTGGAGCCTCCAGCTTCCCCTGGAACATGCACCCTACTCCATGGCTTTTCTGTTGCTGGAGTAGTAGGCATGTAGGCATAACCACATCAAACTTTCTCTTGGCCAGAATCACCCAGGTTTTGTATGGATCAAACCCAAGGCAAAAAGTATTGTTATTGTTGTGGAGTATCCCCTGATACCAAAGACACATCAAAGGAAAATACAATTCAGACTAATATCCTAATGAACACAGTATTCACCCCCTCATTGTAGTGAAGCACTCCCCTGGGTCTTGGGGAGTGCTTCACTACAATGAGAAGGTGAATACCTCTCACCCTACCCCAGCCATGTGGTTCACAGTCAGTATTTTGAGGATGAGCCTTCATGCTTTGATGGGAACATAGTAAAGCATGTGGTACCTTGTGAGAACGCTACATCAGCAGCTCTTCTGTTGTGGTTCCCATAAATGGGTGGCTCCCTGTCAAGATAAAGAATGACACTCCGGCTCAAGATGTCCACTAGGGGCACCTCATACTCTTTCCACAGGACAATGTCATGGGCAAGGTATGGGAGAGTACCCCAGAACCTGTTCAGCTTCTACCCAGCTGTGAATTTGGTGCAAAGGCCAAAGTATATGAGTTTGAGGTTGCTCTGTTATCTGCCACCCTGCCTTCAGGTCTGGATGCACAATGCTGTTCTCATGGAAGTAGCCCACAGCACACACTATCTGCCTGAAAAGTCTCTGGGCTTTCTCCTTCTGCATGCTGCCATGTGTGATGTGCTGAAGTAGTTGTCATCCACCTGCATGCTCCATCATGATGTAGATGGTTTTGTGGGTCCCCATAACCTGAAATAACTGTTTCACACTGAGGGTGCTCCAGAGTCATCAACATGTTCAGTTCTGCACTACGTATGCAGGACCTATGGAAGGCTAGGCTCACCTAGCCAAATGTGCAATGCCCAATGGCCCTCAGGATCTCATAGTGGTTCGTGAAGCCTGTTTCATTGCAGGAGCTGGGTCCCTGCAACAGGGAAATTTGTTATAACGAAGTCAGTATCCCCTCATACCAAAGGCACATCAAAGGAAAATAAAATTCAAACTAATATCCCTGATGAACACAGATGAAAAAATAAAATATTGGCACATCACATCCCAAACACTACTCTGACTACTCTGGCAATACATTCTTAGCAAGAGCAACAATTAAGGATACTAGCTTAAAAAAATCAAACCAAATCAAACCCAAAACAACAAATCAAAATAAAAAACTAGAACAAGACAAAAAAAAAAAAGAAATCAAAAAACTAATATCTAAAGACCACAGCCACCAGCTGCTAATCACCAAACATACCATCTCAAAGTCTGACAAGTCACCACCAAGAGCTTTCTGTACTTGTGGACAAAAACTCAGCTACATGCAGCCTCAGTGAAGAGCATACTCTTCTTGGTGGGTATGGTCTTGACAATTCCCAATACCCAGTAATCCAATAAATTTCCACTTGATCCACTTCTTAAAGATTCCACCAGTCAACATCACCACACTGAGGAATGATCTTCCAATATATGAACACTTGGTGAGTGGGCAATGTTGTATCCAAAGCACAATAACACTATTTCCTTATTACACTGATGATGTCTCCTCAGTTTAAAGTTATTAATATTCCATTTAATACTTAATATTGAAAAACTGTATATTCTTTTCTTCTTCAATATTTTTACAAAGTTATGAAATTTATTAATAATTTCAAGTAACCTACTCTTCTTCTCATTGATTTCTTCCAGTGTTTCTATTTTCAATATGATTAATCTCTACTCTTATCTTTATTAAATTATTTCTTCTGCTTGATTTTGGCTTATTTGCCCTCCAACCACTCACCTCCATTCATCAAGATTTCATAGGTGGTAAAATGTTTATTAATTTGTGCCTATTCATCATTTCTATTATATTTTTAATGCTATCAATTTCCAAGTACTATTTTAGATGTATTCTACAAATTTTTAAATGCTTTATTTCACAAGGTTCGATGTATATTTTATTTCCGTTTAAACTTCCTGAACACACAGATTATTTAGAAGTGTGCTTATCTTCCAACATTTTAGAGATTTCCTTCATCATACTATTTTCTAGTTTGACTCCTTTGTGGTGAGAAACACTCTGAGTGTAATTTTAATTTTTTAAAAAATTGATAATTTTGTTTTCTGGCATAGGGTATGGTTTGTATTGCCTTAGGTGCTTTGGGCAAATTACAAGAATTTTTATTCTTTTATTGGCTAAGTGAATTATATCTCTTGTATTTTTTTCTTAGAAAATGTTAAGTTCTCCTACTTCTTCACTCTTTTCTGCCTAGTTGGATGATCATTTGTTGAAACACTTATTTATTCTCAAAATCTAATGCTTTAATCACTCTCTTTTTACCTCTAATCTTACCCAAGAAAAATAAATAAATAGGTAGATATAGAAATCACAACAATATCAAAGTTATCTGTACACAATAGGAGCATAAAACTGGATCATTCAATAATGTGATAGTAGTCTCAGGTCTCACACTGACTTGTCCATCTCACTTGACTACCAGATTCTTAAAAGTACTTACATTGATCCCCTCAGATTTACATGTTCTTTTTGTTTGTTTGTTTGTTTGTTTGTTTCCCCTTTGGATGATTTTTCTAGATCTATTCTTGCTTCTTACTGAAAATCCTGGTATTACCTGTTCCTCAATCTGACCTAAACCTTAGAGTCACTCTTGTGTTATCTGCCAGGTCAAGATTATCCAGACATTTTTCTCAGTCAGGAGCAGCTGACACCAAGGTTTTCAATTTTATTTATCATGTCTCATTTCTGTGCACTTTACTTCTGTCCCACCAGCATGATATGTCCTTCAGAGCTCTCAGCTTCTTTGTAAATTCTCCAGAAGAGGATAAACCATGGCCTCTAAGGTTCACCATCCTATCACAAATAGAATCGTTCTACATCTGTCTTTGAGATAGGAAGAAGGAGGAAAATATGGTTGAGACAGTCTACTTTTATGCAAAGTATTCTCACACTAAACAGCATTAAGGACCACCACTGATCTTCATTAGTATTTTTTTTCTATTTTCCAACCTCGAATGGGCCTTCAAGATAGATTTTTGATATATTTACTCATATTCCATTCTTCCTGTGCCTGTATACAACCCATGGACTCTACAGAATCATCTTTCTCTCCTCTCTTCACAAAATTTTGCCCCTTACTTCCCTGAGAATTGTGCATTCAGGCACTGGAAATTGAATCAACTTGACTTTTATTAGTCAAGGAAACCAGCTTTCTGCTCTTTATACACCGTCTCCCTTGCCCAGAGAAACACATGTGCTTTCTTATTCTTAAAATGTCTAAACCAGAGCCTCCTCCCAGTCTCCTCCAAGCATCTATTTCCCTCTTTTATTTTCAATCATTTTTTTCTTCTCATCTACTTCTTTTCCACAAATCTTTCAACTAGACCCACCCCAAACTCCTTCAACTCTACTTTCCCTCAGGCTACTAATTCA